CGAGGCCTTTTGGACTCAGCTGCCCTCCTCCTCCCCTCTAGATATGGCCTCCATCCTGATTCCCCTGCTGTCGCTGCTGCTGATGCTCCTGGTAGCCGGAGTGGTGTTCTGGTACAAGCGGCGAGTCCGAGGGTGAGTTGCGGAGAGTCTGGAAAATTACGGCCACGTTACTGCCCTAGTCTCACCCCTCCTAGAATCCCTGCCCTCATGCTCCCACCTCCCCCGCCAGGGCTAAGGGCTTCCAGCACCAGCGGATGACCAACGGGGCCATGAACGTGGAGATCGGGAATCCCACCTATAAGATGTATGAAGGCGGGGAGCCTGATGATGTAGGGGGCCTACTGGATGCTGACTTCGCCCTAGACCCTGACAAGGTGGGCCGGGAGGGCAGGGGAGGGGGCTTCCAGGACAGGGATGGGGGCTGTGGGTGGGGCGACCAAGCGTGTTGGGCTGGATGATGGAATGGAGGTGGGCGGAAGGTACCTAAGCCACAGAGCCCTGTGTCTGAGCCCCAGCTGCACCCTCTTGCTTGCAGCCCACCAACTTCACGAACCCCGTGTATGCCACACTGTACATGGGAGGCCATGGCAGCCGCCACTCTCTGGCCAGCACGGACGAGAAGCGAGAACTCCTGGGCCGGGGCCCCGAGGACGAGATAGGGGACCCCTTGGCATAGGGTCCTCCACCATCGGACCTCCCCAGAGAGCCTCCTGCCCCCGGCCAGAAAAGTCCTTCGAGGAGCCCCCCTCTTGCCCAGCCAACCCCTCCCCAGCCCTGCTGGGATGTATAAATGTAAAAAAATGAAGGAATTACTTTTTATATGTGAGTGAGCAAGCGAGCAAGCGAGCACAGTATTATCTCTTTCCGTTCTCCTTCCTGCCTGCTCCTCAGCAACGCCCCCCCCCCCCCATGCTGCCTTCCGGGAGGGGGGGAACAGGAGGGGGGCTCCTGCAAATTACAGGTATAAGGGAGCCCTGCCTCCCACCTTCCCACCAAAAACGCACCCCCACTGGGAGAGCTGGTGGTGCTGCGTCCCCCTCCCCGTACAAGACACTTTGTCGAGGCTCTCCCCTCTCGCCCCCGCCCCCAACCCCGCCGGTCCCCTGAGGGCTGATTCTGGGATCCTGAGGAGGGTGAGTCCTTTGCTGCCCTTGTCTTGGAAGATTTGGCCCTGGCTGAGGTAGGAAGGGAAGGATGGAGTTTTTTAGCTCTTCTTGGGGGAGGCCATCCCAAGCCCCAGCCCCCACTCCAGGGGCACCTCTGAGATGGCCGCGCTCAGCATCCCTCCCAGACAGGCCCTCCCCTTCTCCCGTGCCCCCGCGGTGGCTCCCAGGGCTGGAGACTTCTTTGGGAAACAGTCCCCCCAGGCTCCCCTCCCCTGGGGACGAGGAGAAAGTGGGGCGCACCGAGGAAGGGCAAGCGGGCAGCCCCGTTTTGGGGACACGAACGTTTTAATAATTTTTGCTGAATTCCTTTACAACTAAATAACACAGATATTGTTATAAATAAAATTGTAAAAAAAAAAAAAAGCGTTTGTGTCTGTCTACCTGAATGTGAGGCTCTGAGAGCTGGCCTGTGCTTGCATGCTCCGGCCACCAGAGGGAGCCATGCTCTGTGCTGCAGGAAGGCTGGAGCATCTGGTCTTCAGGGCCCTTCTGGCCTCCATCCCCGTTGGCTGGGCTGCGGCAAGGATTGAGGGTGGCACGGAACTTGGCCAGAAAGACCTGCTTCTCCTGGCTGTGTCAACTTTTGAGCCAGTGACTTCACCTTTCGGAAACATGTGATCTCTCTGGCCGATGGACCCTTACCTCCAGGATCTGCATTTTCTCTGCACTGTCACTCCCACCCATCCTTAAACTGCTCCTCCACAGCGAGAAATCCTACAGGACGAGATGAACACACTGGGATTGTGGACGACTTTCTAGTCCTTCAGGATGGTCCCATTCCCAGTCGGCTAAGTTTGCTCTTGAAGCATTAACATCCTCACAGAGACTGATTAATCAGATGTCAAGAGTAAGAACCCTGGGTTCAGGAAAAGGAAAGCATTTGTGGTTACAGCTGGGAAGGTCAGTTTTCCAGGCCTCACGGGCCACCAACAAACCCAGTTCCCACCCCAGGTGCTGATGACCGCTACAGTCAAAGGGGGTCCCACGTGTGCTAAGCTGTTTCAGTCGCGTCCAACTCTTTGCAACGCTATGGACTGGTTCCTCTGTCCATGGGATTCTCCAGACAAGAATACTGGAGTGGTTTGCCATGCCGTCCTCCAGGGGATCTTTCTGACCCAGGGATCAAACCGTCGTCTCACGTCTCCTGCATTGGCAGGCAGGTTCTTTACCACTAGCGCCACCTGGGAAGCCCAGGTCTGCAACTCCCATGCAGAAGGCCACACTGCTTTACACGGTCCTAGACTGAGAGAGGGTTACAGCCCCCCTTTTCCTGCCGTAGCAAATATGCTCAAAGAAGGCAGCTTTAAACACCTAAAGAAACCTAGTGTGTGTGTGTGAGTCGCTCAGTCGTGTCCAACTCTGCAACCCCATGGACTGTAGCCGGCCAGACTTCTCTGTCCATGGAATTCTCCAGGCAAGAATACTGGAGCGGGAGGCCATTCCCTTCTCCTGGGGATCTTCCCAACAGAGAGATCGAACCTGGGTCTTCCTCATTGCAGGCAGTCTTTACCCTCTGAGCCACCAGGGAAGCCCAGCTCCCAAAAGAGGAGCATTGCTTTTCATTCCCCCTCCCTCCCTGGTTCAACTTTCTCAGTCTATTCCTCCTTTCTTGAGGGAGGAAGCTATGGATCCAGCCACGTCCAGAAAGAAGACCCCTCCCCTTCCCTCTAAGCCGTGAGGTGCCAGCTCCAGCCTCAGCTTCCAAGCCAGTTCTGCCATCCTCCGCAAGCTCCCCGGCTCCGCACCGTGCCCTCGGACCCCAGTCCAGCCTCTCACTTCCTTCCCTGGGGCTATTCTGCCACACCCCCTCTACTCCCCTCCAGCCGGCTCCTCCCCTCCCCCAGCGCCTGTCTGCTCCCAACCAGCGGCCCCACCCCCTCACTGCCTCCCTCTGCCAGCGTGCATCTGGCGCCCCCGGGGAGCCACTGATTCTCTGCCTGTCGCCTCAAGATCCTGGGCAGAGCGAGAGGGGCCCCCAGCTGCGGCTTGGAACACATACCCCCTCCAGTCAGCATCCTCCCTCTGCCCACCAGGACGGCCAGGAGAGGGTCTGCCTGAAGGCAGTGCTCAAAAACTCCCCGCCTGGCAAGGATGGCAGAGAGACCTAAGACAGAGATGGAGAAGAGACGGGGCAGAGCCAGAGGCTGATACAGACAGAATGAGAGAGACACCGAGATGGAGACAGGGAGTGTGTGTGTGTGTGTGTGTGTGTGTGAGTGAGGAAGCTGGGGACAGGAAGCTGTGACCTGAGACCAGCAAAAGGAGGCGAGGTGGGGTGGGTCAGGACTCCAGAAAAACAGGTGGGCTTCTGTCCTGGGTACCATGGGCCTGAGTGTGCCCACTGCCCCCACTACCCACTACCACCTCAGCAGCCCCTGTGTGTGGCACTCGGGCTCAGGATTCTGGATGGAGCCTTGTGGCCCGCGGCCTGGCTCATCCTGCCTCTCCCTGCCTCCCTCTCTGCCCCGCCTACACCCAGGCTCCTGGTCCAGGGTGCTGTCTGTCTCTCCCTGAGTAGCTGTGTCCACTTCATCTTCTCAGCATTCCTGATCCTTGTTTTGTGTCTTGTCACATCCATGTGTCTGTCTGTCTGTCTGTGTGTGCCCGGGCTTGTCTTTTGGACTGCCAGTGCCAGCGTACACCTGTGTGTGCCCATCACTGTCTGTGAATGTCCACCTCTCTGCCAAGGCAAGGAAGGTGGGGTCGGCTCTGAGTACCTGGCTGGGTATGCGTGTCTCTTGATGAAAGTTGCATTTATCTCTCCGGGCTCTGTATGCGCACCCTGTGTAAACCGACTGTCCATCTGGTGGATCGAGCCCCGGGCGTGCGTGCACTGTTCTCTGTGTGAATGTCTCACTCCGCCCCTACTGTGTGGCCTGCCCCTGCGCGGCACCTGCGTGCGTGCTGGGGACATGCGTTGGGGTCTCCCGGTGTGCATCTGTCTCTCTGTCTCTTTGCTTGTCCCTCTCTCGCTGTCGAGGTGTCGGTCATACCACAGCCTCAGCCACAGCCTCAGTGCATAGCAACAGCGGACAGCTGAAGGCTCCCTGGGCAGGAGAGAGAGACTAGGGGGAGGAGGGAGCTGATGAAGAAACAGCCAAGAGGACTGAGACAGAGACAGGACCAGACCGGGACAGAGACAAGGACAGGGCAAGAGGAGAAAGGGGAGAAGGATCTAGAGTGACTGATGGTGAAAGATGGGACCCTGGGCTGAAAGGGATGGATGGAGATCGCACCAAGAAGCCGGGCCGTTGGTGCGGCTCCTGCCCAACCCCCACGCAGGGACGCTCTGGGAGGCGTGGGGGGTCAGCAGAGGGGGCGAGGGGCAAAGGTGAACGGCGCGTCTAGCGGAGGGGTCCTGAGACCGCAGAGGTGCCTTGAAGGCGGGGGTGGGGGCGGCGGCCGCCGTTTGTCAGCCCTATTGACAGACGTGATGGGGTTTCCGTCCGTGATCAATGATACTCATCTCCGGGCCGAATGAGCCGCGGGGCGCCCATCCATCCCCGTCAGCGCCGCGCGGCGGCAGTCGCCCGGGGCCCCGCCCGCCCTCACCTCGGCCTCTGCCCTGCTCCTGCCCGGGGACCCTCCCGGACCCGGAGCACCGAAGAGGCCGGGAGCTCCGAGGGACCCCGGTCTTGCTGGGCTGCTGAGCCTCGCCAGGCCCCCCACTCTCCGTTCCCCGCTTGGGGAACAAGGTCCCGGAGCTAGGAGGAGCCCCACCCCCGGCCCTGCTCCTCAGCGGTGCACCCACCCCGCCTCTCAGGTCCGCGGCCCCCGAGCCCCGCAGCCCGCTTCGCTCTGCCCGGCGCCCGCCGCGCCCGGCCGCCCGGGAAGATGCGGTTGCTCCCGGAATGGCTTCTCTTGCTCTTTGGCCCGTGGCTCCTGAGGAAGGTAAGGGGAGCCGGGAGGTGGCGCGAGCGTGGGGGTCCCGGACGCCAAGGGCCCAGAGCGCCAGGGCTCCGTGCGCCCGCCTCGGCTACAGCGCAGAGCTTCCCAACTTTGCCCGGCTCGGGGTGGGAGGAGGGGGGGACGCGGACAGACAGACTCCCGGTGCAGGATAGGCGCTCTCCCAGCGCAAGTTGGCTGAGGGTCCCGGGTGGGGTGGGGTGGAATTGGGGGGTGCCAGGGTGGAGGCCCGACTCGGATCCCGCTCCAGGCGAGGCGGGGGAGGGGACGAAGCCCGACCCACGAGTGTGCCAGACGGAGCGGGAGTGCGAGACAGACAGACAAGCCAGCAGGGTGTCAGCCTTGCCGTCTCTCCGCGCCAACCTCACTCGCCTTCCTCGCTGTCTGTCCTTCCACCCCTCCACCCCCGCCTTCTCATTTCTCTCCTCTGCTCTTGTCACAACGCCAGGCGGGCACTGTGCTCCGAGCAGACTCCCCGAACACACGCGCGCACACGGACCCACACAGATACCGCCGAACTTGGCTACCATCTCCCATCGCATTTCCCGCGGAGACACCGTCTCCCCTGCACAACCTCACAGACACACCCCTCTCGCGCGCCCGGCGGGTAGGGGGTGTGGGCTGTCTGGACAGAGTCTCTCCTCCCGTCCTCTCCTCGCTCCATCTCCCCGAGGCTGGCCTGTTTCCCTGAAGCTCCAGGGCAAAGACAGGCTAAAGGGGCCCAGACTTCATCTGCGTCCCTCCAGACTTGGCAGCTTCAATTCCACACACGGGCGTTCACGTGTGCTGGTGTGGAGTGTGCGGGTCAGCGTGTGCACCGTGTGTGTGCCTGCCTTGCGTGGCAGCCAGGCTGGCGTGTCTAGTGCTGGCGTCCAGGGTGCGTGTGTGCTGGTGTGGAGTGTGGTGTTGGCTCTGAAGGGGCGAGCGTGAGTCCCTGCTTCACACGGCAGCCATCTGTGCCCCGCTGTGCATCCCACAATGGGGGCCTAGGCCCTGGACCCCTATCTTCTGACACCAGCCCCCTGCCCCTGACTCTCCCGTTTCCTACCTTCAGTGTGACCTACCTAGTCTCAGGGCAGGCAGGTAGCTTCCCAAAGCCTGACTCCCTGCGTCCCAGCCCCCAGGCCCTCCAGAGTCCGGAAGGGGTGTAGACCCCCGACTTGGCCTCCCACCTGCTCGTCCGGAAGCCTTCAGCAGCTCCAGCAGGGCGGGGAACCTTAGTGAGGCTGGCGGGGGCGCCCTGATTCCGTCAAACCAGCCTGGCGACCTTGAGGGGCTGGGAGGTGGGCGGGGGCGCCCCCTCCACAAACGCTGCTTCCACCGGCAAGAGCTTCTTGGGGACCTGCTTCCTAGCTCTGCCCTCGCAGAGAACTCTGGGAGGGGGTCTCTGCCCCACAGCCCACTGGGGTGTGAAGGCCCGGGGGAGAGGCAGTGGGGCTGGGTGGTCCTCCCCGGCCCCTCCTTCCTGGTTCCTCCCCACTCTCCTCTCCAATCTCCCCATCAAATAAACTCCCCTGTGGACAGATCTGGTTTAATTTCCTTTGCCCCCTGAAGGGGAATGAAACATCTGGCGAAGACCTGAGGGAGATCGAGCGTGAGGCTGTGAGCAGTGGGGGTCTGAGTGTGTGAGAGCTGCTGCTCTGGGCCTGCGTGTTGGAGTCCACGGAGGACAGGGTGTCTGCCATTTAGCGCGGCTTGTATGCATGTGAGAATCTGTGTTTGCATGTACATACAGACTGTGTGTGCATGTGTGTAGCTGTGAAGGGGGCTGTGTGTAAGACAGTGTGTGTCTGACTCCCTCTCCATGTGTGCACATGTGTATGCACACCTCGGAGTATCGGGGTGTGTCTCTGGTGCATATCTGTGTGTTGGGGCGCCTGTGTTGTCTGTATGTGAGTCTCCGAGGCTTGCGTGTGTCTGCGTTCTTGTCATCTTGAGTGCATTTGAGTGTGGGGATGAGACGGAAATGGCAACCCACTCCAGTACTCTTGCCTGGGAAATCGCATGGACAGAGGAGCCTGGCAGGCTATAGTCCTTGGGGTCACAAAGAGTCTGACTCGACTTAGGTTCAAAAACAATAATGGGATTGTAAGCCTCAAGATGTGTTCATGTATCCGAATGTGGCTCGTGTGTGTGTGTGTGTGTGTGTGTGTGTGCGCGCTCAGGGCTGTCTCGGTGCCAGGGCTGGCCCTGGGCTGACACTGAGTAAGAGGCTGGTGGGGGGCAGTTTGCAGGGAAACCCTAATTGTCCCATGTGAAGCACCCTGCCATCTCCCACCCTGCTCACCCGCCCCGCCTGCAGGCGCCCTCTGCCTCCTCCCTCCTTGCTCCAGGCTCCTGGTCTGCTGTGGGGCCTGCGACTCCTGGCTTCCACCGCCCCCGGGGCTCTGGCCCAGGCCTGCTACAGGATCTTTCCCGCACGGCCTCTGACTTCTCGCCTTGTCTGTCTCGTCCTCCCCACCCCGTGCCAAAGCAGCTGCCTACTGGGAGAAGCAGCAGGAGATCAATAGTCACTAATCACTAATCACTAATTACTAATTAGCTGGGGGAGGGCAGGGGCGGGGCCCTGTGGGACCGTCCAGCCCTAGCCTGCCTCAGGAAAGGATTAGGCTGAATTGAGTCTCTCAGCAGCGGCTGGCCCCAGCCCTGCGTCTAGCCACCCCCTCCTGACTCCATATCCTCCTCTAACCCCCCAGCTAATCTCTGGCTGGGCCACTTAGGCACGTGCAGCCTGGGCCAGGGCCCAGAGCTGTCGCGGGATTTGGGGGTAATCAGGGGCCGCAGCTGAGCCAGAAGCATAGGCCAGGGGGGGTGTTGATAGCTCCCTTGGGTCAGAGCCCCCGAGTATGGGAGGGGCACCCAACGGAAAGAAGAAGGTAGACTGTCTTGGGTTTGGTGTGAGGGAGGAGCTGGGGGTCCAGGACGGGGTGGCTGGGGAAGGGGGGAGGTAATCTGGGGGCAGAAACAAGGCAAAGAAGGGTCACTGGGTTCAGGGACAGTGTCCTTGGGGGCGGCGTAAAGGTTGAGAGAGACCCGGTGAGCGGAGGGGGCATCATCGGGTCAGAGATGAAGTCATCGTGGAGGAGGTGTGGAACTTTGGACCGAGCCCTAGAACTCCACGTGGGCGGGGACGGGGGACAGGGTCACGGAGAAAGGGCAGGGTCTGTCGTGGGGGAAGGGTCCCAGGGCTTCCGGCTGGCTGGGCTCCGTGGCGAGTCCCAGGGCTTGGGGTGGGAACGAGCTGCGGGCCAGGGATGGGGAGCGGGGGGCGCTTGCCTTGAGCGCTGGAAATGGGCGAGTCTCCCCCTCTCCCTAGCCTACCCCTCCTCCACCTCCACCCCGCCCACTCCCCCTCCGGCTCCGGCTTCGGGAAATTACATCCCAGCTCCGCGGCTCTGGGGGGGCGGTCGTTCCCGGGGGGACTGCGCCGGCTCTAGGAAGCAGGGAAATAAAATAAAATAAAATAAAATCAAAATTCAGATAACGGTGAGCCTTGCGCTGCAGGCCAGGAGCAGGCGGACAGGCGGGGCTGAGGGGGAGGGGGCGCCCGGTCCAAGGGCAGAGCCCGCCCCAGCAGCCATCCCCGCCCCCTCACGCTATAGCTACAGTAGGGTCTGGAAGAAGGTATCTCCACCTGCCCGAGACCCCTCTGTGGCCTGACCCTGCCGGTCTTCTGCCTTTTTCTCTGGCTTGACTCCCATACCTGTCCTCAGCCCGTCTCCCCATCCCTGTCTCTTATCGCCTTCCTTGTCTCCCATTTCCCATTCCAGCCCCCATCCCCACCTCCTGGGTCTCTGCCTCCTTCAGCATCCCTGTTTCTGCCCAGTAACCATTGCCCACCCCCCGTTTCTACTCCCACCCCCTCTAGTTCCATCCCCATCTCCCAATCCCCATCCCACTCCCATTCCTCCCAGCGCCCATCCCTCATCCACCGTCCCTGTCTCCCCCATTCCCACTTTAGTTCCCACCTTGTTCCGTTCCCCCATCTTCACTGTCTTGGCCCCTGTCCCATCTGCATCCCAGTCTCTGCCCAGGGCCTGTCTACCATTGCTGACCTCCTCTTCATTGCTGTTCCCATGCCTACCCGTGTTCCACCCTTGTCTCTGCACCAGGCACCTGTGCCTGCCCAGGCCTCAGTCCCAGTGGCCCTCAATCTCTGGCCCAGGCCTCATCACAGCCTGTCCTGTCCACCCCACCTCTGCCCTCACCCCCATCTCCGTCTCTGGCTCCCAGCCAGATGCTGCCTATTTCACCCACCCTGGCTGCGGGCTGCCCCCACCTCTTTCCAGGTGCAGGGCCTCTGTACGCACTTCCCTCTCCTTCCCCGGCCCAGGCCTGGAGCATCTTCCTGCCCCAGCTCTTGGGTGCTGTCCCCTCCCCCAGTCAGAGTCCTGAGCGGTCCCGCCTGACCCACACAGCGGGAGAAAAGCCACCGACCGGCCTGGGGAAGGCGCACCCTGCAATGCGGATGGGGGGCCGACAGCCTGATCCTCCCCCCATTCCCAGCAGTCCATCCCCAAAGAGCACCCCCCAACCAAGTGGAGTTTGTCCAGCAGAAAAAGGCATCCTCAACTCCCCTCCAATGCGTGGGCTCGCTGCCTGGGGGGCAAAGCGCTTCTGGCCCAGCTCCCACCCGGCGAGGNAAGCGCTTCTGGCCCGGCTCCCACCCGGCGAGGGCCCAGAGGCGCCTGGGGAAGCGCACCCCCACCCTCCCCCCCAGTCCCTCCTGCCATCACACCTCCGCCCCCCAGGCCGACAGCCAGGATAGCCTCTCCCCTTCGCAAATGTCACTGCGCCCAATTAGCCTAATTAAACCAGCTCCGGAGCGACCGGGACCCCTCCTCGGACAGCACCCCGCTCCCACTCTGTCGTAGAGGGGGAGGGACAGCCCCGCAGACCCCAGGCAGGCAGGGGCCCCCCTGTCACCTTGCTTTCCCCTCCCTCCCACCCCCACCCGCAGCTGGGGACAGGCCGCCTAGAGGGTAGAGGGAGAGAACCACAGTTAGACAGACAGACAGACAGAAAAGCAGCATCGCAGGAGAAAATTAGAGACAGAGAGAGCGAGGGAGAGGGAAAAACAGCGAGAGCGAGCGAGGGAGCGCGAGCGTGAGGGCTGGGGAGCCAGAGGGAGGGTTTGGTTTGATTTTATTCCGTGTTCCCATTTCTCGGCTCGTTTCCTCGCAGACTCTCACCCCTCCCTGACTGAGTTCTCCCCCCAAGGTCGCTTCGGCCGCTCCCCCCGACTCTTCCCTTTTATCTTGGCTGTCTCCAGCGGCGGTGGGGGTGCCGGTACCCAAAGCCCAGGGATTTGCCAGGATCAGAGAAGCGTAGACAGCAATTGGTCTGGGATCAGGGTGGGGGCACACCTGGCGCCCCTCACCACCCAGCCAAGCCTCCTTCCCTCCCCAGCCCCCGCCTGGGAAGAGCGGGTGCCCCGGAGCAGTGGACAGGTCCCGGAGCGGCTGCAGCGTGTCCAGGGCTGTTGGGCTGTGCTGGGGGCGGGGCGGGCTCAGCGGTATTTGGGGTCATATCAGCAGGTGTAGGGGCTCCTGGATGCCCCTGGAAAGAGCTAGTGGTTGGGCCCAGAGGGGTGAGGAGTTTAGGTGTCATAGTTCAAATGACTCCTCCCACCCATTCTTGGACTTCCCCTGGAAGCTTCGATATACTCCCACCTCCATTGCCCTCTCCAGGGCTCAGGCCCTGCCCTCTCTAAGCCCACCTCCTGGAGCCTTGGTCCGTCCTGCTGGAAGGCCCTTGTCCCCTCCTCTGCGGCCCAGGACCCCTTCCCCCCATCCCCTCTCAGGCCCACCTCTGGGTGTTAGCTGCCAGCTCAAGCTTGTCAGTCTGAGTCAGTCTCTCTCACCGCCCCCGCCCCCCACACCTGAGCTGGGAGGAGAGATGGACGGGAGGAGGAATGAGGGGGGCGATAAATATGTATGACGAGCGGGTGGCGGCGGCATTAATAACCCAGGATCGCGGAGCTGCGGGGATGGGACCAGGCGGTGGAGATTCTCGCCGAGCAGCTCGACTCTGCTCTTCCTGTCCCCTGTGGACACATGGAATGGACACATGGTGTAGGCAAACGGGGGGGGGGGGACACCCATGCTGCCCGGCCTCTTTCCCTACTCACAGCTCATCCTGTAGGCCAGTGTGGGGATCCCCCCACCCCCCAGGAACATTCATATGCCACTGACATGTATGCACCACCCCCCCAGGAGAACACAATGAGACCATGCGTGTTATATCATTGTGAAATGCACTGGCCGGGCCTTGAGAAAGAGATGGGCACATGGACAGAGGATGAGAGATCACAGAGGGAAGGTGACACCCTCAGTGAATCACACACAGCCACCCTCAGACACACAGCCAACCCAGGCACAGACTACACCAGTCACAGAGGGGCAGCTGCCACCACCCGAAACAGCCTCACCCAGACCCACACCCACAGACAACCCAGACACCTGCACAGAGCCCCCCGTGGGCTGATACAACTCGGCCCCAATGAGCAGGCAGACACACAACACAGCCTCTTCAGACTGCACGCGGGGCACGCAGACACACACGCACACACACACACACAGTCACCATGCACAACCACCCCAGGCAGACACATGCACACCCATCATCACCAGAGGTTGAGACCTGAGCATGCGCATGCACGCGCGCGCACACACACACAGTCATCACTCCAGGCAGATAGACAGATACATACAATATAACAGAAATACAATCACCCCAGACTCACACATGGCACTCCCCCCTCCCCACATCCAAACCCACACGTAATGAGGGCCACACCGAGTGGCCACAGCTAGCACGGTCTGATTGACACAGCCTGACACGCACAGCTCCTCTCCTTTCCGCTCCCCTCGCTGGAGCAGCATCTCCATATTTCTTCCTCTGCGCTCTCTCGCCTCTCCTTCACTTGCGGCCACCCCCCCACCCCGCCCCGGATAATTGATGGCCCGGGCCTGGCCCGGCCGCTCCCGCCTCTCGATCCATCTTGTTCTCGCCCGCGCTGTCTCCCAGATCGGCTGCCACCTGAGACACGGAGCTGGTGGGGGGCAAGCCGGGCAGTGCTCCTCCTAGCCCAGGGGAGGCCCACCAGGAGGCCTCCCCAACAGCAGGAGCACTGGAGGTGGAGACGGGTGCCCACTATGAGCCCCCAAGCCCCACAGCAAGCATGCAGGCTCTCCTCAGCTCCATGGGTCTCCCGCGCTCCACCCCTCAAGGCAGGTGAGGCTGAGGCCTGTGTGGGGGCCCCAGTCTTGGCAAAGGTGTGCTGGGAGGTCTCACTCTGGGTGGGGGCCCCAGTCTCGGCAAAGGTGCGCTGGGAGGTCTCACTCTGGGTGGGGGCCCCAGTCTTGGCGAAGGTGCGCTGGGAGGTCCTACTCCTTCCTGACGCTGGGCACTGACAGTGGTCATGGCCTCCCTTGCCTGACCCAGCTTCTCCGTGGTCCGTTACTCCCAATCAAGCCACAGTTCATGGCTCCAGCCCCTTTCAAACCCTCACTGCTTTGGCTCTCTTGGTTTTCTCAGCCCTCGTCAGAGTGCTGTGAGAAGACAAGGCTTCTAGTGTCATTTCACAGATGCGGAAACTGAGGCCGAGACCACACACCTTGAAAGAGCCGCAGCCCATTTCCACGGGCACTCCCCGAGCCACTGCTGTGGCAGCCCGCATCCATTTGTCCTCCCAGCGGCTGTGGACGGGCCCGGCGTGGCCCCAAACCACCCCAGCGTCTCTCTTTCCCTCCTCCTTCGTCCCCAGGCCGTCAATGCCCAGATACCGGAGTCCAGGAGGCCGCAGTACCTGGAGCTGCGCCCCGCCACGGCCGGAGGCGGCGCCCCAGGCCATCAGCTCCCGGCAGCGCCGAAGTCCTCCGACGGCCTGGGCACCGCGCGTGCCTGGAGCTGGGCCTGGCCGGCTAACCACACGGGGGCACTGGCCCGGGCCGGGGCGGCGGGAGCGCCCGCGCAGCGCACGAAGAGAAAGCCGTCCATCAAAGCGGCCCGCGCCAAAAAGATCTTTGGCTGGGGGGACTTTTACTTCCGGGTGCACACTCTCAAGTTCTCGCTGCTGGTGACGGGGAAGATCGTGGACCATGTGAACGGTACCTTCAGCGTCTACTTCCGCCACAACTCGTCCAGCCTGGGCAACCTCAGCGTCAGCATCGTGCCGCCCTCCAAGCGTGTGGAGTTTGGGGGCGTCTGGCTGCCGGGGCCCGCCCCCCACCCGCTGCAGTCTACGCTGGCCCTGGAGGGGGTGCTCCCCGGGCTGGGGCCCCCGCTGGGGATAGCGGCGGCGGGGCCGGGGCTCGGGGGCACCCTCGGCGGTGCGCTGGCGGGTCCGCTCGGGGGCGCGCTGGGGGTGCCTGGGGCCAAAGAGTCGCGCGCTTTCAACTGCCACGTGGAGTACGAGAAGACCGACCGCGCGCGCAAGCACCGCCCGTGCCTGTACGACCCGTCTCAGGCGTGTTTCACCGAGCACACGCAGAGCCAGGCCGCCTGGCTGTGCGCCAAGCCCTTCAAAGTCATCTGCATCTTCGTCTCCTTCCTCAGCTTTGACTACAAACTGGTGCAGAAGGTGTGCCCAGACTATAACTTCCAGAGCGAGCACCCCTACTTTGGATAGCCCGCCCCGCCCTCGCCCGGGGCCCTGAGCTTCCCGCGAAATCCCGGACTCCCTTAAGCGGAACCCCTGCCCCTACCCCGCAGCTCCTGAGGCCGCGTCCACCCCTTCCACTCTGGGGGTGGAGAGGAGCAGCCCTTCCTGGATCCCCTTTTCCTTATGGGGAGTGCCCACGAGGCTGGGGGTAGCCCGCATTGGCTACAGCCTCAAGTGGAGGGCCCAGAAGGCAGCCCCAGAATCGGCGGGGCTTGGAGGCGGTCCCCGCGTCCCCTGCGTCCCCACTGAGTCCTCTTCACGCCTGCCCCTGGCGCTGGGCTGGATACGCCCTTTGCGCGCAGCTTTAATAACGCCTTGCCTGGCACCCTCACCCCACCCCTTTCTTACTCCCAGCCCTATACCCACGTAAAGACCGTAAAGGCCTATACACCGCGGCCCATTCCCAATCCCTCTGCCTGTCGTATGCCTGTCCCCATTTCCCCCGAACCCCAGTAATTAGGGTAGGGGAAGCAAAACTCGTGTGCATAGGCGATCCACTCGCCTGCCCTCTGCCCGCCTCCCTCCAGTCCCTGCCAGCCTTGCTCCACCTTCCGGCTGCTGCCTCTCGGCGATTTTCTTTTTTTTTCCCCTACGCCAAAACAGACGGGAAAGGGAACAAAATAAAGTGAAATCCAATACGCCTCTGTGTGAGACCTTTAGGCAAGGGGGTGGTGGTGGTGGCGTGCGTTTCTGTCTGGCAGAGACCTGGCCAGGGCCTCCTCCCTCGGCGGCTCATGGGGAAACTGAGACACATATTGACGGAACTGGCACCTTGGAGGTCATCCAAGACGAGGTCAGATTCAGACGAGGAGGACGACCCTTGAGGTTGAGCCCAGCAGGAGGTGGGCATTTTCCTCCCAGAGGTGGGCGGGATGAAGCTGCCGAAACTAGGACGGGGATTAGACCTGAGAGGCGACCACCGGCGGGCCTCTGGGGGAGGAGGTATAAGGCCCTGAATGGGGTGGAGATGCAGGGACCGCGTAGGCGGAGCGCTGACAACCTGCTAAGCTCCGCGGGCTGGCGGGAGGCGGCAGGTTGGGGGGGAGGGGAAACAGAGTTTGCGGCATCTGGAGTCATCGATCTTCCTTTTCCTTCCTAATTTCGTGGGCGCTGAGTTTGCAGGCGGTTGGGGGAGGGAGGGATGGAGGCCTGAGACGAGGGGGTGGGGGAAGGGACGACCGCGAGTTTGGAGAAACGGGCAACGCCGCTCCGGCTTGCCGTCTGCAAACGCAAACAAGGGCCCCTCCAGCCAGCTGTCCACCCTCCCGCCCCTGCAGACGCAGCTGCTAATTTTATCCGCCCCCAACCCTGGCCCGGGCGTTAATTGGCTGCGGCTTCATTAGCAGTTCTCAAGCCCAGCCGCCGCCCTCCCCTCGGGGGACCCCTGACGACGAGGCTAGGGAGGAGGTACGGACAAGCTGAGGCGCCTCCTCTGAAGCCTTCCTTCGCTCTGAGTCTTGGGTCAAGGTAAACCCGGAGGCAGCCGTGTTCTCCGGAGGATTGCCCGCTGGCTGCACTGGGAAACTGAGTCAGAGGTGAGTCTCACCCAGACACCCTGAGTCTCACTCAAGGAGTGGAAAGTCAGTAAGAGGAAAATAAATACGTGATGGATGGATGGTGGGTGGCTGGGTGGGTGGACGGATGAACGAACTGAAAGGAAGAGGGAGGTGGGAAGTGGTTCTGGGTCAGAGATTGTAAGGACAGGATCCGGGCTGACTCCTGACACCAAGCCTATTATTGGAAAAAGCTGAAAGCACCTGAGGCTACAGTGGGAGGGAAGGAGATCAGAGCTAACTAAGGGGGGACTTCTAAGGCCTGAAATGAGAACCAAGTGGGAATAACTGGCATTAGCAAGTTAGCTCACCCGGGCCTCAGTTTCCTCACTTGTGATGCAATAATAAAATAGTTCTGGACACTAAAAGATACTTTGCAAGTGAACATGCTTTGTGATGGATTGTCCTCCCCCTCTGACTCACAAACTTGCCTCCACCACCATCCTCTCCTCCTCCTTTCCTTGATCTTAGGATGTCTGGACACCTGGGGGCAGAGTGAGATGCCCCTGCCCGTAATTGCACTTTTGACATTCTGGTAGTCAGTGATCTATTCTGATATCTCCAGGGCTAAGGCATGCCTAGCATGGTGAAGGAGTTCAGTGTGTTTGCCAAATCACTGACTGAGTGGATGTGTAATCTTGCTAAGTAAGGCAGTGGTTCTCAAAATCACTGCTGATAGAAGCACTAAGGAGAAGTTCTGTTGCATGTCAGTGTCAGTGGGCAAATGCCCACTCTTTAAGATCCACTCTTTAAGACTTAGAACCTCTGATGAAACTCTAAACACTCATATATTTCTATCACACAGCCAATTCTGATACCCAGGTTTGAGAACCTACTCCTGGAGGGATCAGTGAGTCCCTCGCCTAAAGAACAAGTCCAGATGAAGTCAGGCTATAAGGAAATCCCTTCCAGCTCCAAGAATCTATAGCCCCAGGGTACAAAGAGAGCTCACTGATTGCTGGAGCATCCAGACTGAATTGGTAACAATTCAACAGGTGCAGTGAGGAGGGGGCACCTCAGCCAGCTCCCACACGTCCCAGAGAAGGAGGAGATGGCCACGAGGAGGCAGGTTTGTGAGGATGAGGTGAGGGGGTGATCCATCCAACAGCATGTTTACATACAGTCTCGTTAAATCCCCACCACATGTTATTTTATTATTGATTTGCAAGTGGGGAAACTGAGGCTCAAATCCACTCATTTGTTAGTTAGTCCCAGAGTGGGAACTTGAACTCTGGTCTCCCCCTTCCCAACCAGGGTGCTTTCTAGGGGGCTCTCCCGCTTGTACAGGAGTCTTTGCATTTCCCAGTGAGCCTGGTTTCCCTGGTAGCTCAGCTGGTAAAGAATCTGCCAGCAATGCAGGGGACCCCAGTTCGAATCCTGGGTCGGGAAGATCCCCTGGAGAAGGGACAGGCTGCCCTGTTCTTGGGGTTCCCTGGGGGCTCAGCTGGTAAGGAATCCGCCTGCAGTGTGGGAGGCCTGGCTTCGATCCCTGGGTTGGGAATATCCCCTGGAGGAGGGCATGGCAAACCATTCCAGTATGCTTGCCTGGAGAATCCCCATGGACAGAGGAGCCTGGTGGGTTGCAGTTCAAGGGGTCACAGAGTCGGACACGACTGAGCGACTAAGCGCAACACATTCACTCGGTAGATACCCAATAAATTGCTGTTGTGTGAACAGACGGGAAAAAAAAAAAACGCTGAAGTTTCAGGACCGTGAGGTGACAGGGAGGCAGTGGATCTCTCATCTTTCAAGCAAGAGCTTCTCCAGTTGGAAAACGAAACTGAAGAGAGAAAAAACTACAATTCCCAAAAGACCCTAAAGGACCCACTTTACGCATGCGTAGATCACGCGGCTTCCCGGTAGCTCGTTTTGCGCCTGCGCCCTCCGATCAGTCGCTTTCGACCCCTTGTTTTCCCCCGCCGGAGTTGGTACCTGGACCTCGCGCGACTTTCACTCTCTTGTCGCGATGTTGTCCTTCTCTTTTATTTGGGCGACTCGGGTAAGGATGGGGCTCCAGAGAGTGGGTGACCCGTAGAAAGTCAGTTCCCAGCCTATCCCAGTTAGGGGATTCTAACGATTCACAAACTTGGGCTTCTCTGGGCTTTTAAACGCACGTGGTCAGGGTCCCCGGGGAGCGGAGAGCGGAGGGGAGTGCGGATGTGCCACTAGGGGATCCCTGAGACCCCCGGTGCACGGAGGGTGATCGGGGCTCCTTTTCATTCCGGGAACCAGATGCCCCAAGGCCTTGTGACTGCCCGTTTGACGTGGCATTAGAGAAGAGAACCATACTGAATGCCCCGTGGACCCTGTGCTGGCCAGCCAGCACTGTTCTTGGCCTGGACCGCGAGCTGAGTCTTTCTTGCAGATCTGATCCATGCAAATGATGCAACTGGTCACCGCTGCTTGCATCAGGGTTCCAGCGGCTCTGGGCTGGAAGGAGGTGGAAAGAGTGGGGAGCACAAAGGACAAGATACAGGTTTTGGCCTTCTTCCCCAGAGGCTGCTAAAGGCCTATGTTCCCACCTCCATCGCTCTGGAAACCACTGTGCAGCTTATTGCCCTAATCCTTGCCAGCTTGGTCGCCTGCACGCCCCCCGACTCGGATATCACTTTGTGAAGGCTCTGCAGGAAAACCATGTGTTTCTGTGGGTGGGGACTGCCTGGAGTTCCGGAGACACAGGCTTCTAGAGGACAAACTTTGCCCTGAGGCTTTGCAGAGTGTTTTAAGGGCAGAGGTGGAGGGAGATTCTGAGGTTAGCTGAATAGATCAAATCAGAACCACCCCCTGGATGTTGATCTCAATCTTGGCTCTAGACCTGGTTTTTGAAGGTGGAGGTGGGGTTAATGAGAACTGAACGGACTGACTTTACAACTGACTGCTGAGTGTGGCGCCTGAGGACCGGATAAGCATAACAGGATGGTTGACTGTTTCATCTGGACACTTTTTCTTTGACCCGAGTTTTTCTTTCCCTAGCCTCTGCGGAGATGTGGTCAGCTGGTTGGGATGGCCGTACGGTGCCAACACAGTGAGGCTGCCCAGACTCAGACCGGAGAAGCAAGCAAGGGCTGGTCAGGCCAGGAGAGTCTATCAGACAGTGATCCTGAGATGTGGGATCTGCTGCGGAGAGAGAAGGACAGGCAGTGTCGCGGCCTGGAGCTCATTGCTTCAGAGGTGGGGCCTGGTGAGAGGGGCCAGGGCGTAGGCCACAGCTGAAAGTAACAGATCATCTTCCTGCTGTTTCTCCAGATCTCCCTTTCAAACTCAGGGCCTTCCTGATGGGCCTCATGTCCGTCTCTTCTGCTGATCTCTGAAGCAAAGGCAGGGCCAGTATGGGTTATGGGCAGGGGCTTTAGGAAGCCCGCCAGAGCCTCCTGGAGCTCTTGTAGTTTAGTCTGGTCCCTCTTCCATCCGAGGAGGAAACAGAAGCCTGGAAGCACAGGCGCACGTGGACAGGCGGCCTATCACAGCACCTGGGTTTCTTTTTTTTTTAATATTTATTTATTTGGTTGCGCCGGGTCTGAGTTGCAGCATGCAGGATCATTCCTGCGGCATGTGGGATCCAGTTCCCCAACCAGGGATTGAACTGGCCCCTGCGTTGAGAGCCCGGTGTCCCGGCCACTGGACCACCAGGGAAGTCCTAGCAGCTGGGCTTCTGAGGAGGATGCTCTGGCCGTTTCCCTGACCTGGCAAGGAGCCCTAAATGAACAGAGCTTTCTGTAGAACCCGGCTCCTCCCTGCAGCCTGGGGCTCTGGCCGGAGGGGGCTGTGGGGTCCAGGGCAGGGGGCTCGGTACCTTCTGACTCTGCCCCCTCCCCCACCCCAGAACTTCTGCAGCCGAGCTGCGCTGGAGGCGCTGGGGTCCTGTCTGAACAACAAATACTCGGAGGGTTACCCTGGCAAGAGGTGAGGGCCGGGCACCGCCCGGCTGCAGGGCAGCCTCAGGGATGGCGCTCCCAGTGGGGACACCCGCCCGTGCCGGCCCGTGTGTCCAGAGGATGGCCTTCCCAGCCCTTCGCTGCTGGGCCAGGGGATGGTGGAGCCCTCCCTCTGTG